ATATATATATATATATGTATATGTATCTTGTTTTAAGTGCAAAATTTTTTTGTATTATGTATAGTTAAACTAGATCTTTTAACGTTTAAATAATTTAATGTGAATTTGTATATTCTACAATATATATAAATGCATACTATATTTGTACTGCGTCATTTGAACTGCGCGTTGAAATTTTTTCGGACTTAAAACGCAGGTAAATTACTGAAATAATATTAAATATACAATTAAATTTTGATGCTCAATAGGCATCTATTAAAGAAATCTTAATATGCTGGAAATCTAAATACAATTAATTTACAGAGTCAACAATGGCGCAGGCCGTATGCTTTAACGTTATACACTCTTATATACTTTTGAAATTTTAATTGCAATTTGGAAAAGCATGTGTTATATATACGAGTATAATATATATTACATCTATCTGAAAAGTTGCTATTAATATATTAATTTACATTACTTTTTAGCTACAACGTGCTTGAAATGGACCACTATATGCGAAACGATAATCACAATAATCAATATAATTAATAATAATGTATGACGTGTTATTGTCGTCGAGCAGCTTATTAGCTTAGTTAGTCTATTTACGAAATATAAACATATGGTAAGAATATACAAACATTTTATTTCCAAACACGAAACGGTTATTACTCGATCTTCCAAAAGTAAACAACTAAAGTCTGCGTATATGACTCAAGAATTCAAACGGAATTGATTATTAACATTAATTACGGATGAACTTATGGTTGCATAAACTTATTTAATTTAATTAATTACTAATGATCGTAACTCGTAAAAAAATATTAGATTTATTTAGCCAATAAGTAGAAATGTATTTAAAGATTCCAAAAAAATTTCATGATAAATTGATATTAATATCAAATTTGATCTTTTACTTTGATGCTGAAAGCCGTTATAAGTCAAATTTTAATTGATAAAATATGAAACATCTATTCGTTTACATTGAATTTTAATACGTAATAAGAAAATAGCTAAGTACGAAATGAAATTTTTTACTCTCGTCAAATTATGTCGTTAATTTCAATTAGAGTAAAGTAATTTTAATTATTTAGAAATTGCAGATAATGAATTATAATTGAGTTGTCACTTGTTAAAGATTACGTTAACAAAGTCATATCTCGCAATTTAGCGAACCAACAATACAATCATTCGCTTGTATTTGTTTCTATGTAGATTCAGTCCAAGATGATAACCATTTCGTCCTCGAGAGAAAGCGATATTCTGCGCCATGGATTGCGCGCAGCTCTTAGTAACTCCATCCAAGGCAGAAATCTTCTAGCTCTTCTGCAATTTGATAAATCAAAAGAATTAGCACAAATACCAAACGTATACGTTACATTATCATCACAATTATTAGAATATTACGATAAAGATAAACAATTCTTATATCAATATTTATAAGTGTTAAGAAACATAATAATAAATCGAATTGAAGAACTGAGAATAAGTCAATCGCGAATAATATATCCGTTTCTCTTCGCATATAATCTTATTTCTTTAAAATCTTATTCAATAATTGATAAATTTATAATCAGAGATTAAATACTTTTTCACACTTACACACTGCTTTACATGAATTTTCTTCGAAATTGGTTTATGTTTATTTTCGATCCATCTAATTTTTATACTAACTTGATCTGTTCGGTGGCACGGAAGAAGATGTTACCGAAATAGTCTATCCATGACTTGACTTGCTCACGTGCATTATTTCTGGACAACGGACTGTCAGGCAGCGGATGAGAGGCCCTCCTGTTAAGAAGCGGCGCGGGATGTTCCAGCGTATGCTTCGGATGCTGCAATTGTTGCGGATGATGAACTCTTTTCGAAGGCGGTGCACCAGAAGAAAGCCTTGTGATCAGAGCGATATCTAAAAACGAATGAAGACTCGTGACAATTTTAAAGAATCCTGGAGTATAATCATTTTTTTTTTTTAACAACGTGTTAACAATCAGCCTGATATCGCTTAATATTACTTAATATCAAAAATATGATTTCCTATTTATTTAATATGCGCTAGTGTACAATTACAAAAATCCTATTTACAATCGTTACTAATTTACGATCCTTTCCACTAATAATTCTACGTAAAGAAAGAGATATACAAGTCATTTTATTACTCACAAGTCTTTTTATTACTTATAACATATTTAATAAAATATTTTATAGAAAAAAAAAAACATTTTGTCTATAGTATTTATATTCGCTATTCGATAATTGATTCTTATTATTGTTAATCACTAATAAAATATAGTGCGAATTAAAATAATGAAACTTACCATCTAAATCGTTAATTTCGTTGAATGATGTCGAGCGTTTTTTTTTCGAGATATTCTGTTGGGTCGACATGACATGCTGGGGTTGGGATGGCGTCAATGTGAGCCTGTTTACTTCAGGTTTATTTGGTACCTTTTCATACAAAAGACTGCTGTCTACAACATTATACTTTATATTATCGAATAATAAGATATGTCACACACACATGAACATGTATATGAAGATAATTAACTGAATTGTTTGTATCTCTATCAGTGATGCAAATACTTTTTTTAGTGTAATTTCTTTCTACATTGTATAAAATTATTTCACACAACACGAGAAATAAATATTTATCCATTTACAAATATAATATTTATATTTATATATTTCCGTTGTATATGTATTACGTTATATAATATCGTACCTTAATATTTTTATGAACAGAATAATGAGATAAATCAATTAGTGAAAAGAAAACACGTAGTTGCTTATTTAAAAAATTATCCATTTTGCATACATATTTTTTTTAAAGAAATGACGTGTTTTCTTTCCACCATATGATTCATCTCATTATTTTATTCATAGAAGTATCAAGGTACAATTATCAAACAATTAATAGTTTTTAGAGTTTTATTTAACATTTATAATTTTTACAAAATTAATAGTTTTTAGAGTTTTATTTAACATTTTATGTCATATATGTCAGAATGAAGTATAAAATACTTTAACATAATAAGTGTTTAGAAAAGCTATGAACCAAAAAACAACAAAGTAAATGTGTAAATATAAGAAACAAATATTATTGTCATGATCTAAAGCACATAACAAACAACAGACGTTTCGAACCCGATCGGATTATCCTCAATGTGACATATAAACATAATTAAACAGAACAGATAAACAAAATTAATGTATTAAGACTTTAAATACAAAGCGCCTTCCCGGTCCGAGTGTTAAGATGTTGAACTACTATCTAATATACATTCAATTAAATTGAATTAATATTTCAGAAATAAATTGAGAGCCGATGAAATTATCGGATTCACACAATCAATCTGAAACAAATAATCCCCTTCTCTCAATTTATTTCTGAAATATTAATTCAATTTAATTGAATGTATATTAGATAGTAGTTCAACATCTTAACACTCGGACCGGGAAGGCGCTTTGTATTTAAAGTCTTAATATTTATATAGACGGTCTTGTTTCCAATCATATTGTTTAAAATTAATGTACTTAAATTTAACGGATATCAACGGATATCAAATTTAACGGATCAATTAATAAAATAATACAAAAAAACAAATAACCCTCTGTAAAATCGCATTCTATTATCATGAATCTCATATTATGTCCGCAATAATATAGCGTATGTGTTAGATATCAAAATAATAAAATTCCATATTGGTGTGAAAGTGTGCAAAATATTTACAAGCATACATTCAAAAATTCTCGTTAAAATCTATAAAAATAGTGAGAACAAACGTTACATCAACACAATATAAAGCAATGAAAAACACCAGAGCATTAAATATAATGATACTGAATACAAAGCAATGAAAGTCCGTCTATAGATTAATATATATAAAAACTTTAAATACGAAGCACCTTACCGGTCCGAGTGTTAAGATATTGAACTACTATATAATATATATTCATTTAAATTGCGAGCCGATGAAATTATCGGATTCACACAATCAATCTGAAACAAATAATCCCCCCAAATTCTCCCAAATCTTAAAAAACTGTAATAAACTTATTGCGAAAAATATTGCCTCGGC